AGTTCGGCATGCTGGGCTGCCAAAGCGGAGCGCACCGTGGAGCTTAACCACTACACCACGGGACTGGCCCCTTCCCTTAGCACTTTTGCAAAACTGAGGTTCCAGAGAAATCTGGGAGCATATAATCTTCTTGTCCTTACAAATGGAGTACATAAGGAGATGCTGAGGGTGACACCAGTTTCAGAGGCACTCTTTGAAACAGCTCTGGAAGTCAGAGAACAAGAGGGACACAGGGGGGATATTCTCCCTGGCTGTCATTGCAGGGACCCACTCAGAATCCCAGAGTTGATATAGATTATTTTATGATGAAGACATTTGAGATTCAACAGATGCAGAAAGAAGCTTTCTTGGAGCTTCCACTGTCTGACTAAAAGCAGAAACTTCTGAGAAATGAGGACTGCCATAAATTCTATCTTTGGGATGGTTTCTAATCCCAAGGGAGAGACTAAGAGTAAATCTACCATAAATCCCCTCTCAGAGGAGTTTCACGGACATGAAGAAGACAGAAAGACCACTCATGCCACATAAACAAACATTATCACAGACTGTCTTATCTCTCATTTGTTCTAAAAACCCATTTGTCTTTCCTAAAGAAACCTATTTGTTCTTCCCATAGAAGCCTTTTCTCCCCACTCCCTTTCTCCTACTAACTTAGGCATAAGCTCCAAATTCTAACTGCCCCTTTGAGTTACTCATCATGGAGCACTCTTGAGTGTATGCGTGTTGCACATGTAAATAAACTCCGTCTTTTCTCTTGCTAATCTATCTTCTGTCAGTTTAATTCACAGGCTCCCGGGTACTGAACCTAAGAGGGTAGAAAAGAAGATTTTCCTCCCCGACATCAATTAGGAAGTGTGCGTGGCCTTCTGATCTCTTCCTACCAACCAAAGTAGGGTTTTATTTCCGCGCGTGAGTGCATATGACAGGGTGGAGACAGATAGATGAAGATGGACAAACAAGAGTGCTAGAAAAAAATGGTCTCTGCTCTTTCAATAGTTAAGAGTTGAGAAAAATCAAAATGGATTTTGAGTCAAAAAGAAACACAGAGTGAAAAAAACAACAGTGGTGCAAGGATCCATTCATAACTAAGAGCACAGTCCAAGTGAGATGACTTTAACTTGGCTTAAGGTCTATCATTCATCTTCAAAATGACCCATAACAGGACCTTTTAACAAAATCTTATTAGGTAGTGATGGGGTGTGAGAGTGGAGAATAAGGCTCCCACCTGTGAAGCTGAATTCACATCCTTGAATAGTGAAGGAAGAACTAAAAGAATTAACCCTGATAACTCTGCAGAAACGGGGAAGCTTCGCATGCTGTGAGAAAATCACTCTTCTCACTAGTGACAGTAAGAGACATTCCTGATTTCCTTCAAAACAAGCTTTTACTTCATCTGTCACATCTTAATCATCAGAACTAGGGTCAATACATTGGTTCACTGGCTTTCAGCTTTATGGTACTCAGCTCCTCAGAAATTTCCCTCTTCTTTTGTTTTTGCTGAGGAAGATTGGCCCTGAGCTAACATCTGTGCCCACCTTCCCCTATTTTGTATGTGAGTCATTGTCACGTGGCCGCGGACGGGTGGTGTAGGTCCGAGCCCGGGAACCGAACCCGAGAACCCAGGCCGCCTAAGCACGGCACACCAGACCTAATCACTACGCCACTGGGCCGGCCCCCTCTCACTTCTTTCTTGGTTCCTGCATTGTAAGTAATGGGAACCTGTGCAACAAATGGGGTGTATGTTCACTTTAGGAAAGACCACATCTAATTCAGATCATCCTAAACTGGTCTGTGTTTGAACCAGACACACCAAATCCATAATGTGATGAATTTAAGCACATACACAGAAGTCCAGTCTTCTCTGCACAAACTGAGGCAGCTGCTTGTTGAATGTAACGTTTACAGTATACATTTCTGGGGGGGGCAAACTGCACAAATCTGAGCAAGGTAAAAATTAACACACGAACCAACAAATCTTCTTCAGTGAAAAGTCTCTCAGTTTCGGAATTCTTTTTCACATAAATCATTTCATAGCCAGATATTACATCTCACTGTTCACAAAATACGGGCATGAGTAAAAGGCCAAAAAAAAAAAAGGTGAAATAAATAAAAAAACACATACACAATTAGTCAATGCTTATGCAAAAGGAGAAACCAAAATATCATTTCCAGAGAGCTGAGCATGACTTACCTAAAGGTAAAGATTTGACCTTATCTCTTCGCTTCTGCCAAATTCATAATGAAGTCTAATTCACTCAAAATTATATCAAGATATTTCCTCTTTAAGTATTCAGAATAACTGCAACAAAGGACTGGGAAAATCTATTTAGCCTCCACCTAGCTTTTATAAAGATGATCACAAAAGCTATTCAAAGAAGAGTTAAGTCCTTTTTACGCCCCTCTAGAAGATTCTACAACATGCTGGAAAACATATTTAAATGTCTCTAGATGCATGGAATTGGAGTTGTTTTTTCTTTTATCCCCCTAAAGGTATAGCCTAAATTCCTCCTACTGAAATTCAGAGGAATGTAGGTCAATTTAGTATACTTAAATTCATCGGAAAGAATTTTCTCTTCCAGAACTGCTGAAATGAACTACATTAGCATCCATTTTCCCTTGGGCACTACAGTTACTAGAGTTTCGCCTTTCAATACATGTTGAAGACTCAATACAACAGACTCCTTCACGATGTTGAAATATTGTGATAATTTTAGTATAAAAGGTATGGTTGTTGGATAAATAGGAAAAAATCACTGAGGGACGACTGTGGATGACGTGTTGGTTTTTCTGCTATTTACAGGTTAAACCTTTCCAATGGCACTTCCATTCTCTCAAGTAAATGGGTCTTTACTCTTTAGAAGAGGAAAAAACCATCAGAAACCCTAGATGCTAAGTGACAGCATTCACCAGGCCCCATGGATGGGCCATCTCCTGCCCTTTCTTCCTGAAAACACTCTTGGTAATATCATAATTCAGGGACCACAACCAAGAAAACTGAACGCCTTAAATGCAGGTCTCCCCTCGCTAAGTTAAATTATTCACAAGAGAAAACAATTCAGCCTTTCAGCTAGATTCCGAGAAGCAGCCAGCTCTCTCTCTCCCCATTTGCACCAAAGAAAATAGCAAAGTTGTCAAGATCTAAAAAGTTGTAGTTTTACATCAGAAGGAAAGCAGGGACTCAACATGTAATAGTATAACAGGCATGTTCCCGCTGACTGTAAACCTGTCATCATTAGCAGCTGCTTTGTGACGCTCCTGTGACCCCGCATACTTGAAACCCAGTTCTAATCTTCTCATTAGAACTGCTGTGTAAGATTCTGCTCAGGAATTCACTGTCGTATCAGATAATAATAGGTAACAATATGGCCAGCTGGATCGCACCGTGTCTGTTTTGATGCTATCAGGCTGGATTTAATAAAAGCTCTGATCGACTTGGTAACACGAAAATGAGTACAAACGCTGCAAAACGAATGCTCCCTGTCATTTTGGTACCAGGAACAAGTTTCTGGCTTATTAAAGAGCAGGGGAGATTTTAATGGAATTTAAGATTTTGTACTTTTCCTATTTCCATATCCATTGGGTGTATTTTGCATGTATTGAATTTGATAGAAAAAAATTTAAAACAAGAAGGGAGGAGGGCTTCTCTGCATAAATACTTGCTCAGGTTTTCTGCACCATTAGGACTATGAATTGCTCTTACAAGAAAGTGTTCTGTTGCTGATGTCTCCCCCTTAGATATGTAGAAAAATATGGAATAGTAGACTGGAAAAAACTTGTTTTCTTTTTTCTCTGAGCCAAAGGTGAAGCTCCTTTAAATGGGAAAGAAGGGAAGGATGAGATCTGGTCCACTTCTCGTTGGCATGCCACTTCACATAAACAAACATCCTCCTCATTTACACATATCCCCTCTAACTTTTGTGATTTGGCAGAGTATCATTAGACCATAAACGACTTTTACTGAATCTAAAATTACAGAGACGCTCAAAAAAGACACGAGGAAATGCTGAGTGGGTAACTGACAATGAGTGTTGAATGACAGCACAATATCGCAAGGTACCAGGATAAGGTACCTGCAGAGGAGAACACTACTGGTCACGCAAATTATTTCATCGTCCTCAATTTTCACTATGAATTGGATGGGTACTTTCTGTAAAGGAGGGCTTAGATATATTCTAGCCATTGAAAAGTGATTCACGCTTTCCCCAAAGGTTTTATCTAAATGATATTTTAGGACCCTGTAACACAAGAAGTTGACAGGTAAGATCTCATCTATTTGAAAAGCATGAATGAATAGTAAAAATCCTCTGAAACACCAAAGCAATTGTGAAACATAAAGTTATCTGGAGAAATGGATCTTCTTCTCTTCTGTCTGCCTCAAGTGTTTATTTTATGCTGAACAGCCGCGTTCAAGCATATCGATCCAGTTGGTGCTCTCAGTTTCAGAGTTCGAGAAATGTAGGACCAAGCAAAAATATCACATTTCCAATTAGCCTATTTCCGAATAAAAGAAGTGACAATTCCATGTCAAGCCACAGCCCATTAACCAAACCAAGGAGAGGTATCAGTTCCTTTTCTCTTTTAAAACTGCCAACTCTCAGAGTAAAGAACATTTGTCCGTGTCATCAACTCTTTACAGTGCCAAATATTAAGAGCTGTTAATGACTAATGCATAACACTGATAAGAGATATCATCTCTTTTAGGAATTTTTCCCCTTTTGATCAAATAACCTATTGGCCCTGAAACACAATACATTTTTATTCTGAATGTCTAACCCAATAAAGTATTAGTTAATCAAACCTCCACTTGATGAATCCTGAGGCTTATGGCCATGCCATACGGCAAAAACGCCACTAAATCCGTACATGATACACAGAATTGCAGAATGACAGCTTTCCATTTGTTTCTGTTTCTCTGGGCTATGTCAAAAAGAGGAACAAGTTTCAAAGTAGCAGGCTCAAAACGACAAGAGGCCTGGTTTTCCAGACTTAAAAACACTCACTTTGCCTTCAGCGTCTCCTCCTGAAAATTCCAGTGTGGATCTTCCACCAGCTGTAATTCCCTTAAGACCCTTCCAGGCTTGTAAGCGGCATTGATGATCATGCTAAGAACCTGTTAGGAAAAAAGAACAGCCATGAACCTCAACAGTACCCTTTCTTGCTAAAACAAGTGTAGGGGCGGAAGACAAATCCTCTACCCTCTGGGTCCTTCTGGCTGGGGTATGAATTAAATTGACATGAGACAGAATAACGGGAGAAAATCAAACAGAGCTTTATAACGTGTATACATGGGAGAGACCCAGGAAACTGGGTAACTCACCCAAATGGCAGGGGCTCTCAGCTTAAATATCATCTTCAGTTAAAGACAAAGGAGGATGTTGGGGGTGGGGGAGTCAGTTACGGCAGATTACCAGAAAAGCACAGTAAACAAGAGTAAGGTTATTATGCAGATTTAAGTCCTTGCCTTCTGCACTGATAAGAGGTTCTAGAGATAAGGTCACCCTCCCTTCTTCCTCCTTCTTCCCTAAAGGTACGGACAGGGAGACGCCTTTACAGATGGAGATTTCCCTTACAAGCATAAATGTCTCTTACAAGGGTAAATTCTACTTTTCAGAGCTTCTCCGATGTCTGCAGTTTTAAAAAGTAATAATCCTCATTAGCCCAAAATAATCTTCATGCCAAAGAGACACATTTTGGGGTGGCCAACTCTGATCCCCCACACAAGAAAACCACCCTGCTGACACATAAGGAGTATCTGCTATACATCTCCAGTAATCGAAGGGCTCTGATGAAGCTGGATGGAACATTCTGCAGGATAACACGGACTTGGCTCGCCATCAACGAATAAAAGGGTGGGAAAATCCAGCCCCTCTGGCTAGGAGATTGTGAACTGCTGGCCAGAGGGGAAGGCGGACTCGCACTAACATTTCTGGTTGCAGAAAACTGAACCATTTCCTGCAAAAAGCCACTGATTATTCCTCAACAGGATTACTCATCAATCTGTAGGATCGGCTACTAAGAATTTCATTTTGTTCTTAAGAATAAATTTCAAAAGGAATCAATAAGACGGAGAAGACAGGTTCGTGCCAAGACTTCTGGATCGATTTCAGATACCTGTAAGCAGGGTTAGCAAATTATTTGAAACTCACCTGATGCTGACCCAATTTATGGACATTTAATCTCAGGACAATTCTCTTAGAGATGTGAGTGTTTCAAAAGAAAGTCTGGAGCATCTAAAGCCATCTGATATCATATTTCCCCAAACTTCCCTTCACTCCTGAGTCCCAAGTCCCAGAAAATAAGCACATGGTCATTGTCTACTGCGACACTCGCAGAAGGACCAGACATTTCCCTTCTGTTTTTTTTTTTT